CCGAAATCCTGGGACGGTATACTAAAGCCGACCCGAGGATAATCTTTGAGAAGGGTATATGTGTATAAATTTTTTAATCCAGATTATACCTTCAAATCGCGGCGCCAAAAGAATAGTAATATTGCCACTTTTATATCCACTAACACTTCACTAATTCGTTTCTAATAATTTATTTTATATTAAATAGTGTAAACACAACTTTAATGCCATATCAAACTTTAATGGTAATGAATTTAGTTATGACCTCATAATCTTTATTTTTTCTTATTTTTATTCCATTACAAATATGGTAACATTAATTTTTTGATTGCTAGTTTACAACCATTTTCTTATTAATGAATTTTGTTATGAAATTAAAGTTATTTTTGCACTAGTGGATGTAAAAGTTAGAAATGTAAGTGTAAAACTGCATTATAAACCGAAGAAATAGTTGATTTTTTGAACATTAAATGCAAATATCTCAAATACCATAAATCAACCATATATATATATATATATATATATCTATATATTCTTGATCGGGAGGTCGTCTATCCGTACATACCCATATCACCCCCGAAATCGTGGAATGCTATTCTAAATCGCAGCCAAAATTAATGCAAAAACACTAATGGTTATTTATAGTATATAAATCAAAAGTAATTACAATAGTTTCAGCTGCTTTTGGCCTACATATTGATGCTATTATTGCCCCTAGATGGCGACGATTTCTGGTATTATTTCCAGATATTCTGACCCACTAAGTCTATGATCCAGTACATACAATACATAAATAATCATTCGTGTATGTAAACTTTTTTAATATGAATTAGGCGCAATTTAAGCTTTAGCATTAATTTTTTTCATATGGAGCGCACATATATATACTCGCTGCATAACTTCTCGTTACTTGGTGTACGCGCAATTTAACGTAGGTCTGACATTTTGAGCTTCAATTCGTTACACTTTCCACGTATTTTTATACTTTTAATTATAAAGTTAAATCCAAGGGGACAAGTCAGATTGGGAGCTATGTTGACTAGTTGAGCTCCGGGGGACCGTGGAGGTCCTCTGTTGGCCACTCGAGGTGGGTGGCGACGCAGCGCGCGAACTATGTGCTGGTTGCACAGCCGTAGAGGCTAGCGTCGCAGTATTGCGCAGGCAACAAGGAGCCACGTAACGTGTGGTCCACTCCGTATGGGTCTTAAGGCCTGATCAGGTCTTGAGATGGCTCCATCCATTGCATGTGTTGCACCTGACCGAGGTGGAGTTTGGATGGAGCCTTTTCGCGCAAACGCAGCAGAAGAATTCCTCCAGGCCCGGGTTGGACTCAATGCCAGCACGAGTCAGGAGGATACGGAGCAACCCTGCTGCAAGGCGTTGCTCCAGTGACGACACACACAAATCAACACTCACCGATCCAAATGGGGTTAGATCGCCCAAGAAACAGCCCTTGGTCGGATGAAAYCCGAGTCAATTCCGGTAACGTAGAACCGGCTGTCGTGGGAATTGATGAATTAAATTATCTACACGGACTGTGTTGTCCTTAATGATGGTTCCTCTACCCATTTCTCCACACATTCCACCTTCACCCATATAGATCTTACAATTTGTTCCACTTCACTCTCTCTGAAAGTTGTTTGGCATTGCATAGATAATTTGCATGGTAGCGATCATTTTCCTATCATAGCCAAAATCTCCTCCCATAATTCCAATTTCTTCAAACCCAGAATATTTTTTAACACTGATTCAGCTGATTGGCCCAAATTTCAAGATTTTTGTTTACGTTACTCAGACACCCTCCCGCCTACAGATATTATTAATCAGGAAACTTCTATGATTCAGAAGATTATAAGATCTGCTGCAAATCAATCTATATCACAAATCTCTCCTAAACCTCGTAACCATAACCCTCCTTGGTGGGATAGTAAGGTATCTTC